TTGATGGGGGGGGGGGTTAGCTTTTTAATATGCTATTTATTTATAACCTTGGCTGTCCCGGATTCGCTTTGTAGACCAGGCTGGTCTCGAACTCACAGAGACCCACCTGCCTCTGCCTCCCTGAGTGCTGGGATCATAGGCGTGCGCCACCGCTCCTAGTTGACCTTAATTAATTAATTTGTTTTCGCCGGGCTGGCCTGAAACTCAGGTCGTGCTTCCGTGGATCTGGGGGGTGGAACCCAGGGCCGCCTGCAGGCTAGGCCGGACCCTATCCCCTGATCTCCGGCGCATTCCTTTCTTCACCTCTGTCTGGGAGGAGGGTGAGGCGCGTGCCTGCCGCAAGCCGCTGCGGAGGGCAGAAGCTGCACCTCCGCTTGCTGCCACCGGGCCGGTGCTGAGGTCCGGCTCAGGTCAGCAGGCTTGGAGGCAAGCTCCTGCCCCCAATGAGCCAGCCCTCCGGCCCCAGGGCGTCACCCTTCCAGAGGACCTGAGTTTGGTTCCCTGAATCCATGTGAGCCTGCTCACAACCTCCCGTAACGCCATCTGGATGCTCTACGGCATCCAATGGCCTCAATGGCATTTGCACACACGCACGATCGAGAAGTAAATGTTTATTACAAATGTATTCATCTATTCACTTTACATCCCGATCACAGAGTTTATTAAATCACGCTAGATAACTGAGTTTACAGTAGTAAACTGAGTGTAGTTTACTCTCTGTCTCTAGGGAGGTAATATATTTTTTTTTAATTTAATTTTATTTTTTTTAAGATTTATTTTTTATTTATTTACCACATACACAGTGTTGTGTCTGCACGCCAGCAGAGGGCACCAGATCTCATTTTAGATGGTTGTGAGCCACCATATGGTCGCTGGGAATAGAACTCAGGACCTTTGGAAGAGCAGCCAGTGCTCCTAACCTCTGAGCCATCTCTCCAGCCCCGAGGTAGTATATTTTTATAGCTTACTTAGTTGGTTAAAATGAGCATTTGATTTGAGAGCACTATGATCAAAATATTGCTTGTGGTTGGTTCACAAGTTATTGCTTTGTTCCGGTAGATAAATGACGCGTGCATTCACGATTCGAAGATGTACCCTGTGTTGATAAAGTGGCACCTAATGATGAACTGACATCTCATTGCTTGTGTCAGCTGTTCATACTGCTGCTGAGCACGGGTCTGAAGCTTGTCCTCTGTCTGACCACCCCAAGAAAGGTCTTGAAGTAAACCTGTGTCTAAATTTTGAAGAGTGAATATACACTTTTAAAATATGGCACCGTGGGTGTGGTTCCTAAATCGCTGTTTTCAAATTACCTTCCAATCGATTGTCTAATAATATATTTTTTCCATAGAAAATTCCTAATAAAAATATCGATAAAATATTGACTTGTAATGGAAACATCAATAAAGATAATTATGTTTAGTTTTATCACTGTTTTTCAAAAGGAGTGAGAAAATATTTCATCTTGCTTTTCTCCATGTCTCTGAAATAATCATTCAAAGAACCATATAAGCCACTTATGCAATGAATACAACCAATCTGAAGAGCAATACACAAGATAAAAAAAAAAAACAAGATTTATTCTCCAGGGTTGAAATTAATGAGTTGCAGTCAATGAACTTCATTATTTAAGAAATCAAAACAGGTGCCTCCACGTTCGTTTAAAATAAATTCCACCGGCTTACTAACACCTAGTGATGAACAACGAGGCAGCAACAGAATGACCTTGACCTTCTGCAGCCGGTGACCCTTTGATTCAACGTCAACAAATATTTCATGAAGTGTCTCACTATCTGGGAAGAAAAAATAGCGATAAAATAAAATAAAGAAAGAAAAGAAAAACACATTGTGTTAAATATCTAAATAAAATGAAAATCTGAATGCAGCATATGACCATAGCTCTTTACCATTTGTGTGTGTGTGTGTGTGTATGTGTGTGTGTGTGTAGGTATGTCATGTATGTGGCTATTCCCAGGAGCCAGAAGATCTGGGAAGGTGTCAGAAGACCAGAAGTATCAGATCTCTGCTGTATGTAGCCCAGCTTGGGTGATCAGAATCGCTCAGGGCCTTTGCAAGGGCAGTATATGCTCTTAGGCATGGAGCCATCTCTCCTGCCTCCCCTTTTATTTAAAAATAATTAGATTTGTGTCTTTGAGTGCTTTGCTTCCATGTATGTGTGCACCACATACATAAATTATAAATAAGATTATAAGTTTATAAAAATAATAAAAGAGCCAGCTGTGGTACTGCACGCGTTGAGTCCCAGCACTCGGGAGGCAGGAGCAGGTAGATGTCTGAGTTTGAGGCCAGCCTGGTCTACAGAGCTGTCTCCAGGACAGCCAGGGCTGCACAGAGAAACCCTGTCTCAAAAAAGAAAAATACTGTGGGTGCTGTGTGATGTTTGAATGTTTTCTTCAAAGCATGCCTGGTCCAATGGCGCTGTCACTGCGGACATCCAAAAAAAACCTGAAGGCCCGAGCTGGAAGGTCACACACACCTGCATTCTTTCTCTTGGGAAGTGAAGGCAGAAGGATCAGGAGTTCAAGACTATCTTCAGCTAGTGGGTTCTAGGCCAGCCTGTGCTACATGAGGCCCTGCCTCAAAACGAAAGCTGGCTGTGAGGTGCATGCCTGTGACCCAGCTTGAAAGGCAGAAGTTGCAGTTTTGAGGTCAGAGGATCCAGGGTTACAGACCGGCTCCTCCAAGGTTCGGCTGGTTGACGGCAAGGACTTGGACCCCTGGAATCCATGTGATCAAAGGCCAGAGCCAGGGAACGGGGTCCCACAAGGCAGCCTTTGACCGCCACACCAGCTCGGTGGCACAGGCACCTGCGCGTGAACTTACACTAAATACACAAATGTTCAAAACATAAAAAAGTAACCCTGACGGCTGTAACAATGGTTTCCCGGCCGCTGGATTGGGCTGGGTTGTGTTTGTCGATTGACAAAGCAATTACATGGGCAAATGATGAGGTCATTAATAGAATGTGTCATCATGAATCAGTTCCTTAGTGCCCTGGGGTGTTGCAGTGCAAAACACAGGCTCCCCAGCAAGTGGCACTCTTTAGCAAAGTGTTCTGCTTGAGGAAGTCCTAGGGGAGGAAGCCCTCTTCTACCTGAAATACTGCTTCGCACACGAGGAAGCTGAGGCTCCAAGCTGGCCTGTCACAGGCTCTAGATTCCGCACAAAACCTTGTTTACCCAGTGTGCTGGGAGTCCACACCCAGGGAGCGGCCCCTGACTCCAGTTCCTTAGCCTAGTCTGCATAAACTCTGACACTTTTGTGTCACTGCGCCCACAAGCTCTACCATTCTACCCCCAGCGAGGGGCTGGGACCGTGGTCAGCGGTGGAGCCCAGCCTAGAATGCCCAGGGAAGAGTTGAGGCCCTGGGGTTCAATCCAGCGCGAGCCACTGGCAAACCGTTGTGAGTGGCCCTGGAACTCAGGGCAGGGATGAGCCAGACAGAACTCAGCGATAGGATAGCTGCTGCTGGAGTCACAGACTCGGGGGGCCGCTGGGCTGCGGCCTTCGCACAAGCCTAGTTAGTCGCTGGAGGTGGAGGCTGGTGCTGGAGGAGGGGTGGCTCGCCGCTTGGCCAGTGGACCGGTGTTGGGGTGGCGGCCACCCTGCCAGGGAACGCAGAGAAGCCCCTCCTCCTGGCTCCCAGGCTCTGTCCAATTGGTTCCCCAGCTGACCCTGGCCACCTGCTGCTGTCCGTCAGGGCCACCCTTCGGTCCGCTGTCCTGTTTGTCAGGCCCAGCTCGGAGGCTGTAGGGGAAGAGGGGCTGTGGGGAAAGCTGGAGGAGGTGTGGGTTTCCAGAGCTTGGTGCAGGGATCTCTGCTGTCCGTAAGGGTCTCCAGGTCCAGTGGCCACCACCCCTGACACACACAGAGGTAAGGCCAAACTCCCACCTCTCCTGTGTTTTAGGTCCCTCCCCTGTGGGGAAAACCTACCATGGTTTAATTTGTTTTTTATTTAATTTTGTAGAAAGTATTTAATCTTATTTTATGTGCATAGGTGTGAGGGTGTTAGATTCCCTGGAACCCAAGTTACAGCTGTGAGCCCCCCTGTGGGTGCCGGCAATTGAACTCATGACCTCTAGAAGAGCAGCCAGTGCTCTTAACCACCGAGCCATCTCTCCAGCCCTTTTTACGTCATTTTTAGGTGACATCCTGAAATGTTTATTTTTTCATGAGTGCGCACAGAGGCGCTCGGCGCTGGGGTGCACATGTGGTTGGGAGGAGCCCATCTGAGGAGCCTCCTTCCTGTGGGGTGTGGGTAAGGGGGGTGAAGGGTCGACGTCACACCATCTGGCGTAGCTGCGAGCTCTTCCACGTGCTGAGCCATCCTGCCCAGGCCATCCCTTCTCTGCTTCCAAAGTGTTTCTGTCTGGGCATGGGGGCCACGTAGACACTGGCAGAGGCTACAGAGACGCCGCCTTCCCCAGAAGCTAGGCCTTGAGCCTGGCTTCGTCTCTGCCCAGCCTCTGGTCTCAGTTTCTCCATGAGCACTGTGGAAATGGAGGAAGGCCAGCGTTGGGATTGGAAAATCCACAGGACCTGTTCCCTGCTCCTCCATTGTCACAGCGAGGGCCATCTGGGCCAGGTCGCCGGACCCCCCAAGTTCTGGGTCAGGCGGAGGTCAGGTCTCAGAGTTAGGTGGCCAGCTAAGGGTAGATTGGGAGCAAAGGCCTGGGGAGGGCTGGCCTTCCAGACTGACCCATCCCAATGGCTTTAAACACTGGATAAAAATAGTCCATGGTGTCAGGGAACATGAGCCGACCAAGGGAGCGGGTTCCAGTGTGGGCCTTTGGGTCCATTCCTGTGTGACCTTGGATAGGCTCTGTCCCTCTCTGAGCCTCTGCTGCCTTCCTTGCTGCTCTGTGGGTTCTGGGGCCCTCCAGGGGCTGGGCGGTGGGGGAGGGGTCCCAAGGCAGGGCTGAGGCCATGCAGGATCCCACAAGGCCACATCCTGTCTCCCTGCCCATCTTCCAGTCTCCATGACAACCAGGGGCTTGGAGGATCTGGACGGGGGTCTGGGCAGCTGCCTCCCCAGCGACGACCTCTCGTTCCTGGAGGAGCCAGCTCCAGGCCGGCGGCCAGACGGCAAGGCAAGAGGTACTGTGACCGGTGAGAAGCCGCTGGCCCAGCCAGGGCGGGTGGGACTAAGTAGCTGGGCTCTGTCCGGGCACAACCTCCTGTTCCAGGGGCTGGATGCACAGACTGGCATCCACAATGAGGCATATGTCTTTGGGCAAAGGCGCCTCTGAGCCCCATGTCCCTTGTCATCCGACGTGGAAGCTGTGATCACTTGTTTCCCGGCAGAGTGGGGAAAGATGGGATCGGTCAGAGGAGGTGGATATCCAACCTTCTTCCTCATTTCACCTACAGGGACATCCAGGCCAGGCGGCTCTAACAGCTGGACACAGGTGAGGAGCTGTACTGGGGACAGGCTGACCAAAGTCTTTGAGTTAAGGTAACCCAGGCTGCCTTCACACCCAAACCTCAAGGATGAGCCTGACTTCTGAGCCTCCCGCCTCCCCTTCCCTTAGGGACTGGATAACAGCTGTGCCACACCTGGTATATGTGACCATGGAGATCGGAGCCTTGGGCGTCCTGCCTGCTGGGCACACTGTAACCCCACACTCCTTTAAAGTTTTTTTCCCTTCATTTTTATTACTTTATGTGTTTTGTCTGCATGAATGTGCACCTCACGCCTGCAGAAGCCAGAAGCGAGCGCTGTATCTCCTCCCGGAAGGTGTCACAAGAGACTGTGAGCAACCGTGTGGGAGTTGGGACTCGAACCCAGCACCTCTGCAGAAGCAGCCGGTGCTCTAACCGCCGAGACGGCTACCCAGACGCTAATATAGTAGTATATATGAATATTCATATATCCAGATATGAATATTTACACATACGCATACATATATAATTGTTTCTGCGCGTCCGTCTTTTCTCCTCCCACTAGGTGGCTCCCGGGGCTGTCGGGCCTGCGTGCGGGGCCGCTCGGCCGCTGCCCGCTCGGCTGGGTCCCTCCTTTTTTTGATCTTTAGAGACAAGAGTCTAACTTAACTGACGCTCAGCTCAGGCTGGCATTCAGCTCCAGGCAATCCTCCTGACTCAGCCTCCTGAGGGTTGGGATTGCAGAATGAGTCACTCCAGCTCACTTGGGGGGAGGTGGCGCTCCTCAACTCCCTCCCCGGAAGACATCTGGACTGTCTCCCCGCGCCCTGCAGGTCCTTCAGGACCCTGTGACTGCTGGCGCTGCGGACGGCGGGGCCAAGAAGATGGAAAAAGAGCTCGCGGCCAAGGAGAGCGCAGGAGCCAGCAAGGCTGCAGCAAGTGGGTCTGCTGGGGCCAGGGGGCGGTGGTGTGCGCCCCGGGGCCAGGGGGGTGGTGGTGTGCGCCCCGGGGCCAGGGGGGTGGTGGGCACGCGGGTCAGCATC